TCGGACCTGCATTCCATAGATCTTCAAGACATTTGTAGGCATTCATTGAACAAATTTCATAGAAATTCATCTAGCTTTGTAAAAGCTCAGCAAACTTTGTAGAAGCTCAGTGAACTTCATAGAACTCCAGATAATTTTGTAGAACCTCAGCAAGTTTTGTATAAGTTCAGAGAACTTTGTAGAACTTCTTCTAACATTGTTGAAGAGAGGAGTTTGACAAATTTCACAGAAATTCGGGGAATTTCGTTGACGTTCAGGTTTTTTCTGTAACTATATTAGATTTTTTATTCGATATTCAGAAGACATCAAAGAAATTCAGAGTATTTAATATAAATTCAGGGAACTTCGTAGAGCTTCAGAGAATTTTAAAGAAATTTAGGGTGCTTTGTAAAAAAATCGGGAAAACTATGTAGAATTGGGAACCTTGTAGTAGTTTGGGAAACTTCGTTGAAATTATGGGAACTTTGGTTAATTTTATGAATGTTCTCCCTCAGCTTACATACAAAAAACTTCGTTTAACTACAGAGAACTTAAGGAACAAATTCAAAGTTTAAAAACATTAAGGATTATGAACCTAAGATCCATGATCAACAGGGTTTTTGAACCTTGTTGATCATGGATCTTAAACTTTAAATTTAATCTTAATCCTTGATCTTTCATTTTGATCTTGAATATTGAATTTTGATCTACAAAATTGGTCATGAATCTTGAATGTAGATCTTAAATCTTTATCATGAATCAATTCTAAATCCTGATCTTGAATATTGTTCTTAAATGTGGATCTTGAATCTTGATCTTTAATCTTGAATCTTGATCATGAATTTGGATCTTGAATCTTGATCATTAATATTTATTTGAATCTTGTTCTTGAATCTTGATTTTGAATCTTGATCATTAATCTTTATCTTGAATCTTGATCTTGAATCTTGATCTTATCTCTTGATCTCAAATCTTGATCTTAAATCTTGATCTTAAATTTTGATCATTAATATTTATCTTGAATATTGATGTTGAAACTTGATCTTGAATCTTGGTCTTGAATCTTTATCTTTAACCTTGAATCTGGATCATGAATTTGGATCTTGAACCTTGATCATTAATTTTTATCTTGAATCTTTATCTTGAACCTTGATCTTGAATTTTGATCTAGAATTTTGATCATGAATCTTGATTTTGAACCTTGATCTTTAATCTTGATCTTGAACCTTGAATCTTGATCATGAATTCGGATCTTGAATCTTGATCATTAATTTTTATCTTGAATATTGATCTAGAATTTTGATCTTGAATCTTGATCATGAATCTCGATCATGAATCTTGATTTTGAATCTTGAACTTGAATCTTAATCTTGAATCTTGATCTTGAATCTTGATCTTGAATCTTAATTTTGAATCTTGAACCTTGATCTTGAAACTTGATCTTGAACCTTGATCTTTAACCTAGAATCTTGATCATGAATTCGGATCTTGAATCTTGATCATTAATCTTTATCTTGAATCTTGATCTTGAATCTTGATCATGAATCTTGATCTTGAATCTTGAACTTTAACCTTGAATCTTGATCATGAATTCGGATCTTGAATTTTGATCATTATTTTTTATCTTGAATGTTGATCTTGAATCTTGAATTTTGATCTTGAATCTTGATCTTCAATCTTGATCTTGAATCTTGATCTTAAATTTTGATCGGGGGCCGACCCCGGCGTAGTGTTTAACTTCCATACCTCTCACGCCAAAGTCACGAGTTCAAATCTCACCCCTGGACAAGTCACGAATAACCCAAGAGTGTTAAAGTGACTATAATAAATAAAAAATCTTGAATCTTGATCTTGAATCTTGATCATTAATTTTTATCTTGAATCTTGATCGTGAATCCTGATCTTGATCTTGAATCTTGATCTTGAATATTGATCGTGAATCCTGATCTTGATCTTGAATCTTGATCTTGAATATTGAATCTTGAATCTTGATCTTGAATCTTGATCTTAAATCTTGATCTTAAATTTTGATCATTAAACTTTATCTTGAAGCTTGATCTTGAATCTTGGTCTTGAATCTTGATCTTTAACCTTGAATCTTGATAATGAATTCGGATCTTGATCCTTGATCATTAATCTTGATGTTGAAGTTTGATCTTGGATCTTGAATCTTGAATCTTGATCTTGAATCTTGATCTTGAATCTTGATCTTGAATCTTGATCTTGAATCTTGATCTTGAATCTTGATCTTGAATCTTGATCTTGAATCTTGATCTTGAATCTTGATCTTGAATCTTGATCTTGAATCTTGATCTTGAATCTTGATCTTGAATCTTGATCTTGAATATTGATCTTGAATCTTGATCTTGAATCTTGATCTTGAATCTTGATCTTGAATCTTGATCTTGAATCTTGATCTTGAATCTTGATCTTGAATCTTGATCTTGAATCTTGATCTTGAATCTTGATCTTGAATCTTGATCTTGAATCTTGATCTTGAATCTTGATCTTGAATCTTCATCTTGAATCTTGATCTTGAATCTTGATCTTGAATCTTGATCTTGAATCTTGAATCTTAAATCTTGATCTTGAATCTTGATCTTGAATCTTGATCTTGATCTTGAATCTTGAATCTTGATCTTGAATCTTGTATCTTGATCTTGAATCTTAATCTTGAATCTTGATCTTAAAACTTGATTTTAAATTTTGAATCTTGATGTTGAAGCTTGATCTTGAATCTTAGTCATGAATCTTGATCTTGAACCTTGAATCTTGATCATGAATTCGGATCTTGAACCTTGATCATTGATTTTTATCTTGAATCTTGATCTTGATCTTGAATCTTGATCTTGATCTTGAGTCTTGATCTTGATTTTGAATCTTGATCTAGAATCTTAATTTTGAATCTTGATCTTGAACCTTGATCTTTAACCTTGAATCTTAATCATGAATTCGGATCTTGAATCTTGATCATTAATATTTATTTTGAATTTTTTTCTTGAATCTTGATTTTGAATCTTGATCATTAATCTTTATCTTGAATCTTGATCTCAAATCTTGATCTTAAATCTTGATCTTAAATTTTGATCATTAATATTTATCTTGAACATTGATGTTGAATCTTGATCTTGAATCTTGATCTTGAATCTTGATCTTAAATCTTGATCTTAAATTTTGATCATTAAACTTTATCTTGAATCTTGATGTTGAAGCTTGATCTTGAATCTTGGTCTTGAATCTTAATTTTGAATCTTGAATCTTGATCTTGAATCTTGATCTTGAATCTTGATCATGAATCTTGATCTTGAATCTTGATCTTGAATCTTGGTCTTGAATCTTGATCTTGAATCTTGATCTTGAATCTTGATCTTGAATCTTGATCTTGAATCTTGATCTTGAATCTTGATCTTAAATCTTGATCTTGAATCTTGATCTTGAATCTTGATCTTGATCTTGAATCTTGAATCTTGATCTTGAATCTTGTATCTTGATCTTGAATCTTAATCTTGAATCTTGATCTTAAATCTTGATTTTAAATTTTGAATCTTGATGTTGAAGCTTGATCTTGAATCTTAGTCATGAATCTTGATCTTGAACCTTGAATCTTGATCATGAATTCGGATCTTGAACCTTGATCATTGATTTTTATCTTGAATCTTGATCTTGATGTTGAATCTTGATCTTGATCTTGAGTCTTGATCTTGATCTTGAATCTTGGTCTTGAATCTTGATCTTGAATCTTGATCTTGAATCTTGATCTTGAATCTTGATCTTGAATCTTGATCTTGAATCTTGATCTTGAATCTTGATCTTGAATCTTGAATCTTGATCTTGATCTTGAATCTTGATCTTGATCTTGAATCTTGATCTTGAAGCTTGATCTTGAATCTTAATCTTGAATCTTGATCGTGAATTTTGATCTTGAATCTTGATCTTGAATCTTGAATCTTGACCTTGAATCTTGATCTTGAATCTTGAATCTTGATCTTGATCTTGAATCTTGATCTTGAAGCTTGATCTTGAATCTTAATCTTGAATCTTGATCGTGAATTTTGATCTTGAATCTTGAATCTTGATCTTGAATCTTAATCTTGAATCTTTTTTTTTTGACTTTTGGTGAGTGTCCAGTTTCTGGTTGGCCCCAATCACAGACACAAAATCAGCTCAATTGGTTGAAAGGTTGTTGAGAAATCGGGGATTCCTGTATTATTTTCTTACAGCAAAAGCAAAGATGTAAATACGGGAACAAATCTAATGTTAATTTTGGTTGACTATATTCTTCACATCTTGGCGTCGTTCTATTTTTGCGTTTTTTTTGTAGCTGTATATACTCCACATTGGACTGCCTGAGAAAACAGTCTCCGCACGCACGTGTCAGGATCGGTGGAGGAAATCTGAAAGGGAAAGTTCCTCCAGTGATGATAAATGTGAGTGGGGTTGTTGTGTTTCGGTAGAACGCCGGTTAGCAGCAACTTTCGCCGTTTGAAGCGGCCTTTGTCTGTGAGGATCCCAGGATTTCAGTTTGCTGAATCGCCCTCAAACTAAATTTCGGTCTCTTCCATACATAAACTCGCCCTGAGGTTGAGTTTCTTGCCGGCACTCGTTCTTGATACAGGAAGCGTATTCAGTGATCGAAATCTTGCAGGATGCGAGTCGTGCGTTACACACGTAACAGTCATTTTATCAGTTACTTCAATAGAAGTTTACACATGTTTCTGACTGAAGTTGGACGTCTGTTCTCTGTGATAAACCTTCATGTTTTTCCGTTGGTAACACAGCTAACATTTTTTTTTAAATAATCCTGTCTTGTTGCAGAATCTATCATTTATAGTCTTACATCATGCTACGGTCACACCGTCACATAACACCCTCGTCGCAATGAACGTATCGTTTGTGAGAAGAGAAAATTATTAAAACATTCATCGCCTCTCTCGCACTTCATCATCTCTCTCCACCATCAGATGAACGTCAGCTTCGTTGACGTCTAGAAACGTCACTTTTTTTCCTTAACTGCATCCACTACGTCACATTCACCACAACAAGGAAGACCACCGTTTTGCACCTGATCACCCCGTTAGATCCAATTAAATTAAGTTTTAAACCACATAAAAGAAGAAAAAAATGGTCTGCGTTCCGTGTTTTATCATTCCGGTGCTGCTGTATCTGTGGCACAAGTTCATTCAACCGTACGTGCTGCGCTTCTGGAACCCGTGGGAGAAGAAAGACAAAGACGGAAAAGTTATCAAGGCCGGAACGGAGTTTCCATTCCAGTGCAAGGGAGGTGTTTGCCCCTTCCCGGTCAAGGGCAACAAGAGTATCGACAATCAGGAAGTGGATAACGGAACGGAGACTTCGGCAGGTGATGTCGGTGGAGCAACGGCAACGGCAACGGTGACCGACGGAGACACCAAAAAGAGTCTGTAAACAGAGAGGACAGCATCGTCTTTGAAGATAAGGGGTGACTGGATGAGAGGATTAGGTGGTATCAGTGATTGTGATTATATGTAATTAACTGCTTAATAAAAAGGGCAACAAATTGGAATGGAAATTTTACTGCAACATTAGTTGTTAAATACACTGACCCCACAATTATGGACTATTTCCATATTGAGTTCTTTAGGGGTACTGAGGTAATTTCATATTCGTAATCTGCATTTAAAATGGAACCTAAATCCAAAATTTCATCAATTGGAATCTTAATTCCAAAATGTCCAAAATTTTGACATTTTGGATTTCGGTTCCATTGTTAATGTAGATTATGAATATTCATGGTCTGGCAAAGACTTAATAATTTTCGAACGAATTTGAACTGTCAAAATCGAATCAGTGTACCGTTATTTTTTTCGGAAATAACTTCATGATTATGAGATAAACACGTATTTCTTGAGTTGTTTTATTTAGTTCTTATCAATTATTTGATCAAAACAAACAAAGTTATCAACTTGGAAAATCCTACACCATCATAGATTTGCTCATGATTTTCTATTTCTGCATGTTTTTCAAACGATATGAAATGAATAAATTGATCAGCTTATATTGAATATCATGGTATTTAGGAAAATCGATTGGAACTTAGTAAAGCATCGAGAACATAGTATACTGAAGATTAAATTTTCATCTTTTACAAGTTGGACATAATTTGAGAAATTTTTGTTCAGCGCAAGAAAATATTGATATACTTTGTAGGTTATAAAAACATTTTCCAGTTGACTTGAAATGCTGAGTAATGTGAACATAGCGAAACCAGCCTTGAATAAGCTTAGTAATTTCGCATAAGCTTGCATTTCAACTGCTTACGAGAAACGAAAAAACGAACAACTATTAGGTACTGTCGTTTGAGAGTCATTGGCGTCAGCGTTGCCAGATTGTTTTCATGATTATCGGTATCAAATGATTAAACAATCGGTATTTATCGGTATTCACTTTAATTAATTTTATTATTTTTTCAAACCTTTGAACTAAAATCAAAAGATGTACTTTCCATTTTAGTCGGAAGAAACTTCTGGAAAATATTTGAATAATTCTCTTAGTGGTACTGACAAAACTTGCAGAGGAAGAATAAAGAAGATCTTGTAAAGGAAGTTTTTAGAAACTTTCGAAAAAAATCCAGAAGCCAGAAAAGTTTGGAAATCGGAGGTCAATCCCGGATGAGCAATTTCCAGGAGAAGCTCGGAAAAACCTTCCAATAAGTCAGAAAAAACCTACGGAGAGTGACTTATGGAGAAACTTCCAGAGGAAGACGAAAAAACTTCTGGGAGAACTCGATAGATACATCCGGTAGAACTTTAATTGAACTTCTTGGAAAAGACGGAAGAAACTTCCAGGAGACACTGGCAGAAACTTCCTAATGTAGATTGGAAGACAATTCTAGAAAAGTCGGGCGCCAGAGGGCTTACGGAACAGTCGAAAGATACTTCAAGGAGAAGATGGGAAAATATCTAGAAGAAATAGATTTCTGGGGGATGTTTGCACAATATTTCCTGAAGCTCCTCACATGTTCTATTGATCCAGAAATTTTCCTGATATTCATAAAACATCTCTGAAAATCCCACAATATTCCTGCAGTTTTCGAAACACTCCTGAATTGCACTTCAGAATATCCCATAATTCTTCTGAACTCCTTGAAAGTTCTTGCAATTTTCCTAAAGTTAATGGGGCTGTTTTGAAGTTCTCTGATCATACTCGAAGTATTCGTAAATTCCCTGATTATTATGGAACTACCGGAAAATCTCTTATCTTCTTTAAAAGTCCCTGGATCTTCTTTAGCGCTTTCATTTTTTTTTAATTAATGAACATCAGCATTAAAGTACTCTGAACCTCCCGATTTGTTTTAAAGTTCTCGAAACAGCCGATAAAAACACAGAACTTCCCTTAAAATGTTCTCGAAACTTTCTAATGTTCATGTGACTTGCCTTACGTTTCCAAAATTTTCATGAACCTCTCGGATCTTAACTGAAATTTTCGAAAATTCCCGGAACTCATTTGACGGTTCAGAAATTTTCTTAAATTTATATGTCCTAATGCTTCACTAAAGTTATCTCAATTCCCCTGAAACAAATGGAACTATCCTGAAAACCATTGAATTTCTTTGAAGTTCTTTGGGCTTGTGAAGTTTCCAAAATATTTCAGTTTACTTAAATTCATTGAAGTTCTCTGGGCTTTCCTCAGATTCCCGAGTTCTCGGATTTGAACAGAAGTTAATGAAACTGTCTTCAATTTATCGGAACCTATCCAAAAGTCCGAACTATTCTGAAGTATCAGAACTTCTGAAAAGTTTCTGACGTTTAAAACTCTGGAAGCTTTTCTGAAGTTCCGGGGAAGTTGAAAAAACTGACGGGAGGAGATGGAAGAACCGAGCGAAGCCAGAAGAAGCTTCCAAAATAGCTTTCCGGAAGGAATCGAAAAACTACTTCCAGGGTAAGGTGGACGGAAATTCCTAGGGAAAGTTGGTAGAACCTTCGAAGGGAAGATTGAAGAAACTTCAGAAAGTTCGAAAATTAACGTTTTTATGGACCTATTTCTCCACTGAATAAAAGTATTTCCCGATTTCCATAAATTACTGGGATGAGCCATCAGTTGTTTCTCGACTCCTTGGTAACCAACAACGGAGAGGAAATGGAAGCGTTAGTCGAAAGAGTATCAAGCATGAGGCATTTTTGCAGAGCAGGCTCAAAATTTTTAATTTTCAAAAAGATAAAAGTCTCTCACAATAGTTTCCTCTGACAATTCAGTGCGGGCAGGCAGTAATCATTTTGATTATTAATAAAAAAATCGGTATTATAACTCAAAAATCGGTATTCTGAGAAACCTTATCCACAGACTGTCTGTGCCTTATCTGTGTATCGGTATCAAGTTTGAAAAGCGGTATAAATACCGATAAATCGGTATATCTGACAACGCTGATTGGCGTTGACGAGAGCTCTGTAACTCTTTACTCCTATGGAGAAATCTCATATGTAACTGCCCAACAAACAATTTGAGTTTATCAACAGCTGAATAAGCAATTTATTAGCTGAAGAAGCTCGTTTTTGCCTGAATAAGCTCTTATTCAACATTCAATGTTTGTTGGGTGTCTGTCTATGTGTGAAACATGGCGGACTTTTTCTTATTCTCTCACTCCAACGGAAAACCCCATACGGAACTGTCAAAATGTGGGTGAAGAAACGTCACTGCGGGACTGGTGTCAAGGCGAAAGCACAACTCATGCACTGATTTGCTTTGTTCACCAACTTGAAACCGATGGGTGGAAATGGTGGAAATCGAGAGGTGACCACAGAGAACAGACGTTGGGGCTCGAAGAAAATATCTTTAAAAACTTGTGTAAAGATTCCTATTCGACTTAAGCACCACCATCGCCGATTTCCCTACTTAAAACCCTCTTTGACAACATGATGGCGCTGGCGTTGCACAACTTACACTAGACACTAAGTGCCGGTAGCGCCGAGTGGTAAGTTTTAACAGACAATTCTAGATAGAGCTGCCATTAGGGCGTAACAGCTTTTGTAAACAATGACTCCTCTCGATGATTTCTCGAAAGTCATGACTCTCTCTGTCAAATCGACATTACCATCGAGTTGAGGGAGACTTCCCCTACCCGATGGATATGTTGGTTTGTGTAGGCTTGCCTGGAGTATCTAGAAATTAACGAAAAACGTCATTGTTTACAAAAGCTGTTACGCCCTAATTCGAGCTCTACACACTTAAACAGAGACCCTGAGTTCGGTAAAAAATTACCGTCTTAGATCGGTAATGTTAAAAATTACAGGTGTTTCGGTATTTTCTCGCTATATTGCTGAAAACTGTAAATGAAATGACCGAATTTCGGTAATTTCATTATAATTTACCGAAAACGGTAAACATTTTTACCGGCAGGTCTGTAAATCAGCTTCATCACTGACTTCGGTGAAATATTTTACTGAAGTTTCGGTAAACAAAGCGTTCCATTACTGAGTTCGGTAATGGTCTAGGTAAACGTCAAATCCACCATATTGTTATTTTCGATCAACTTTAAAAGCGTTCGTGCTTGTGAAAAATAAAAAGGTGAAATTATGGAGGCTGTTATACAACACCAAAATGAGTGAATCGTAGATATTTTCCGCAAATAATTAATTTTCGTTATCTAAATAAATACCGATTACAGATGGCCGATGTTGTTGCTTGTTTTTTCTGTCGGTCCAAGTTTCATTCCCGTTGGCGACGATCTGAAAACAGCATTTGGAATATTCTTCCAAAGCTTCCTTGTTTTCAGTGTAGCGCCGAATCCTTCCGTCAAAAACGGTTTTGTTCATTGGTGGTGCAATTTGCAACACTAACTTATTGATCACGACAGCAGCTAAATGTTTACATGGGTTGCAGTTACCGCCACCTTGAAACAATATTAAAGCAAATTATAGTTGAGTCGGTTACCTTTTTAAAAAATTACAGATCTCTCGGTAATTTTCGATTTGCATATCGTCCTCAAAATTACAGTTCTCCGGTAAAGTCGACTACAAATCAAGCAATGCACATCGGTAAACGTTACCGATCGTTCGGTAAATTTGACAGCTAATTTTGCTGATCCAGTTTACAGATTTTTCGGTAATGTTCTCGATTACCGAAAACATTACCGACCGTTCAGCTGTTGAGAATTCGGTAAATGAATTACCGAAGTCGGTGATTTTTTCTAGGTGTGTATCTAGAATGTATCGATACTAGCGCCAAATTGGATTAAAGTGGAATTTTATAGAGGAAATTAGGAGATGTAACGGCGACGTTCCCACTTATCTTTTCACATGTTTCTGGTGGAAGTTGGACGTCTGTTCTCTGTGAGGTAACTCGTCAGACCTAGTATTTACCTCAGAACAGACGTCGAACTTTGTGTAAAATTATATGGTCTATAAATTTTCCACTTTCGACCAATTTGGCACTAGTATCGATAAATTTTGTGTTGAAAATGGGCGCCAACGCCACTTAGTGTCTAGTGCAATTTGTGCTACGCCAGTGCCATCATGTTGTCAAGGTTTAGTAAGTGGGGAACTCCGTGTAGGCAGCGCTTGAGTGCAATGTCAACGTCTGTTTTCTGTGTGGTGTGAAAGAACCGCATTTGAAAAGCGTCATTCTCGCTGATTTGGAACAATGTCACCTGTTGTTGCTCTCAATCGACGATGTTTAAATATTGAAGTGTTCCTATCGACCATTGAGCTCTTCCTCGAAACCACGCTCATGAAGTTCACAGTTTTGGAAATGTTAAAAAAAAACTAGTGCAATGTTGCTGCTCAGCAAAAAAAGCTCTTCTTTGAAGCAGTTCCTTAAAATACTCAGAACCTCTTCCAAGTTCGCTGATCTTCGCTAAAGTTCACAGAACTTCATTGAAGTGTGTAGAGTTTTCCTGAAACTCGTAGAACTTTCTGGATGTTTGAAAAAAAAAATCTTAAAAGCTCGCAGACTTTTCCTGAAGTTCGAAAACCTTCACTGAAGTTCACAAAACTGTGCTGAAGTTTACAGAACGTCTTAAAACTTTGCAGAACTTTCCTTAAGTTTATTGAACTTCTCTATTGATGAATTTAAGCACAGAGAACAGACGTTGAGGCTCGAACTAATTTTTTTGTAAAAACTTGTGTAAAGATTCCTATTCGACTAAAGCGCCACTAACGCCGACTTCCCCACTTAAAAACCCTCTTTGACAACATGATAGCGCTGGCGTTGCACAACTTACACTAGACACTAAGTGCCGGTAGCGCCAAGTGGTAATTCTCAACCGAAAATGTATCGATACTAGCGCCAAATTGGTCGAAAGTGGAAAATTTATAGAGGAAATCAGAAGATGCTAGCGCTATGTAACGGCGACGTTCCCACTTACAAGTTTCTGGTGGAAGTTGGACGCCTGTTCTCTGTGATTTAATAAAACTGGTCTATTCCATTGGTAATATTCCACTCTATATACTACATTAGCAGCAGAAGCAGCAGCGGCAGCAGATACAGCAACAGCAATAGAAGCAGCCGCACCCGTGGGAGCTGCAACGCTAATTCTTGTAGCCGTGGCCGAGGCTGGAAACCTCGGTCTGGTTACGACACATACGATTTGAAAGGTAGCAAAACGTCATTATCATGCTTCACATAATTTCCATCTGCTAGTCGACGGTCACGTAAATTCATCAATAGTTCGCAAAGCTTCCATGATAATCGCAAAATTTTCCTTAGCTTTCTTTAGAATGAAATATGAGAACTGCGATGAAGTTCTGGCAACCTTGTAGTCACTCAAAGTGAGGCCTACCTAAACTCACTGGGCAAGAGTATTTGCTAGGGATTTTCTTACATGAATTGCTGGGCAACTTACCAAGTGGAATAATAAATCACCGAAAAATTTGAGATGAAAATTCACGGCAACCTCTAGACACCCATATTTACTTTTGGGCAAAATTGCATGATTGCTTGTAACGCTAACACTCTGATAGATTTTCATTGATTTCCAGCTAATCACTCATGTTTACTGTAGTTTTCAGTAAAACAAATTGTTAGCTGATTTCCGGCAAAACTCATGGTTTACTGATCTTGTTCCAGTACACGGTAATCGCAAAAAACTCTTTTATGACTATAAAGTACACATTTTTGAATGAAAACGGGACTACCCACAAAATGAGTAAAATTTTACACATTTATGAGTAATTACTAGTACAAAAATGAATAAATTTTATGCATTTATGAGTACCAGATACTCATAAAATGTGTAAAAAATACACACATTTTAGGTGTAGTCCCGTTTTAGCTGAATATGCATACTTTATAGTCAAAATTGAGTCCTTTATAGTCATTTTTGCGTATTTTGCGGTTTCCGTGTAATCCATTTGGCTGGTTTTCAAACCTGAAATTTAGTGTGTTTATCATGTCCAATATGAGTAAAACTTTACTGATTTTCAGCGATTTGTGTTTGGTGTGCAGGTTAAGGCAAAAGCAAGCAGTAGAGTCGGTGTATATATTATACACCGACTCTAGCAAGCAGCATTGGCTTTATGCACCACCATAAATATAATGTTACACCACAGACAAACAGACATAACACTCGCAAGTTGTTCATCGAACAAGCATTTAACGGTCAATTTAAAAGCATCGTAGTTGGTAGTACCGCCACCTGTGGCGCGCATAGTCAATTCCCTTGCGTTTGACGTTTAAACACTACCGCCATCTGTTCAGCGTACTACCCACCATAGTGTACTCAACAGATGGCGCTAATGTTTCAGCGACGATGTTTTATAGTGATAAATATTCAATGTGTTATGTCTGTTTGTCTGTGGTTACACCAACAGTTGACTCTGTTCGTGGCTTGTCCCCAATACACGTCGAGTTCAACTTCCATCCCTCGTAACTGGACATTTAAATTCAGCTGTCACGGAGTCAGTTTCCAGTTCCCGCATCATCCGCAATGCCAAAGAAAACGTTCTAGTACTACACGACATGTACACCACCCAAACATTGTTTTGTTTAATGTTTATGAGGCGCCTGCTTCGATGCCACACCAACACCGTCTCAGTTTATGTTCATGTTTTATTTTTTTTTTTTGCAATCCTCTCCACTCGGGAGGGCTGTTTTTCTATGCTGTTTGTAGCGCGGCCCATTCGCACACATAGGAAGCCAGCATTACACGCTCGCAATCTCTCTCCATACATATTAACATCCAACTGAAATGCATGAATGTTATTCAAGCTCTCCTGTGCGGATTCTCCCTACTTGTACAGACGGACAACAGCCAGACCTGCCTAGTACGAGCGCTGGAAGCCAGCCGCAGCGGTACCAGTACAACTTTACTTGCCGACAAATGTAGATGACCGTCCGATACCTCCGGGAGTCCGCGCGGAAAAACTAGAAGAGTGTTCTCAATCCTACTGCTCTGCTGTGCTGTGTGTGCATCCTCTTTTTTTAAAGGGTTTCTGAAGATCTAGAACCGGGTTTCTTGGATCTTCTTGGATAGCGGTGAAAAGTGAGTTGTTTTGGGTGTGATTCGGTGAGTCTACTGCGCTCGCGGTGGGGTCCTCCCACGCAGCTAGCAGTACGGCACCACAGCCGGCCGGTTATTTCCAGTCGAAACGCAGGATTCGGGCTGTGATGGAAGTGAAAAAAAAAAAAACGATATCAGGAGGATGCCCAATGGACGACGCTAGTTCGGATTGAGGCGTTTCCCTGCGCTCTCCGGCAAAGAGCGGATGAAGAAGATGAAGATTATTGTGTTGTGCCGTGACCGGAAGTGAAGATTGTGGAAAATTTAAACCGATTCGTTGAACTGAAAAGTGGGGAATCAAAAATATGCGGAAATCGATGTCTGTATGGCGAAAGGAGTGGAAAATTTTCAATGGTCGGCTTCTTTGTTGAACAGCGAGAGGGGGTTTTCCTCTGCTTGCTGGCTGACATACACTCCCTTTCCTTGCTGTCCCGCTCAGACGTCCTTCCGAGTCGCGTAAGGATGAACGAGACCGAGCGAATGGATGAATAAAAGTCGGGTTCCCAAGCGAGCATAAAAAGGGATGATGGTGATAAAGGAGCAACATTAAAACGCATAGCTTACTTGGTGGCACTGTATTGGTGAAGCTGTCGATATCCTGGGTGCCCACTGTATTGGTACCGGGGCCTGCTCCGGTGAATGATATTTTGATAGCACAAGTCCTGACGGAGAAGCCGCTTCCGCCCACCTTCGGGGGGCGGTCGGTGAGCAGGCAAGGGGTGCTGTTTTTACATCCTGTCGTAGAGGGTCGTCGTCCTGTTAAAAATGTTTAGCAGCGATCGTCGTGTGTGATTAAACTGGCAATGAACGAAAACATAAATTGAATTCAATTTCAATCAATGACATGACATCATTAGCATAACGAAAATTCCACGAACATGAACTAGTGATGTAAGGTTCGGATGAGTAATCCCAGCCTGTTTAGCGAATACCTGATAAACTTCAGGCCGTCAGAGTTGGCGATACAAGCGCTGGAAAAAAGAACAGTGTGTACCCGACTCGTATGGGTTGATAGGTGCCTACTTTGATAGAGCGAGCAGCGCAAGTCACCTCACCACACATCTTTGCTCAATGAATGGGTGTGTGTGTGTGTGTTTTTGTGTTTGTGAAGTCAGATGCAGTTCTTGGTCGCGGTCGCGGTCGCGACTGCCGAATGGCAAAACTGATGATTCGCGTTTCGATGTCGCGAGTTTGATTACAAACAAAAGCCGTCGCCGTCGCTCTTTAAAATACACCACAAGACTGGCGGCGCCCATGTTTCCTCTTTTCCCATCAGTCTACATACCTCCGTTCCATACAATGATAATGTCGTTGTTCTTCTTTGCAACGTTTGGTTTTGGTGGCAGGTAGATAGGTACTTCGCGAGCAATCCAAACTCGTCGATATATCAAACAGAGGAGACGATAGAGGAATAATGAATTGTACTGTACAGTAACATTACGGCTCTTAAGGTTGCGGGTTTGTCTCAATTGGATGAGTGAGCGAATAAATGGAATCTCTTACGTGTCCAGTCAGTGCAGTGCGTGCTTTTGTATGCACATGCATTGCGTTTACACTGCACTGTATGTACCTACCAACTTCTTCCGACAGTTTTCAACCGAACATTTCGATGTGCGCTGAAGGAAAGTGCTTTGTTCTTAATTTGACCAAATGAAGTAATTCCTACTGATAAGGGAATGCCACAAAGAAAGTCAACCTAATAGAGAAATCTAAATCATGATATCATTCATTTAGGCATCTCGAAGGGTTTTCGTTGCTAAATATGGTGGCGAATTTAGGGGTTGGAAAAGTATAGACTGGTTTTCTGCTGAGGTATTAATTTTAGATTTTCCTCCCTACCCTCGTAGGGTTTTAGAATTCTGAACGCTGAGATGGTTTTAAGACCTTAGACCTTGGGGGAAGACAGCTTTTGATCATGTGTAAAATCGGAATTAATTTTGAGTAACTCTGCGTAATTCGCGTTGCTCAAAACCATATACACATAGCAATCTGATTGTTGTATTGAAACCGATACTGTAAAGCATGCAATGCAATGCTTAACCGAGAAGATATTTCGGCAATGGAAGGGCAATTGCCCTTTCGTATAGTACGCGTACGAAAGCAACTACAAGCTGCCCCCTTAAAATCGATGGTGACCATACGGAACAGCCAGAGATGTTTTGCTATATTGCCATTCAGATGACGTTCGAGTACTGCAAATATAAGCAACCGCATAGTCCGGATTCTGATGGACAATCTCTGGGGGGATTCCAGTCAATCGCAAAGAGGATTTATGACATTCTCAGAAGAAATTCCGAACAAGTCAAGGGGGGATCCAGACAATCCCAGTGCGGCTTCCCAGCAATATCAAAGGGGACTGTCGCAGGAGAGATGCCGGACAATCCCAGGGAGCATTTCAGTTAATTTTGAGGGGGATTCATGACAGTTCAGGGGGGATTTCAAACAATCCCAAAAGGGATTCCGGACAATCCCAGTGATATTCTGAACAATCACAGGGAGCATTTCAGTCAATCCAAAGGGGGATTTTGGGTAATCGCAGTATGTAAACAATTAGATGTAGTGGATCTTGATGCCTTCGACGATCGCTCATTGACAAACTTAATGTAAGTTTCAGAATAGAATCAACTATGAAGTTGGCCAGCGCTTACTTATTTTGACCTGGAATGAACAGCTAAATAAGAGACCGCATTCAAAAATGTTCCTTTTGAGCTAAATATGGATCATCATAACAACACCAGACGACAGAAATTCAACCCATTCCTGTTTACCCTTTTCAACTCGTTGTTTATGAATGTCTTTTTCCAGGAGTATCACGGAAAACATCGGAAGTTTCTGGGGACAGTTGACCATTACTCTGACATTTTCTTGGTAAATATTCTAAGGGATTTTTATCCCTCTTCCATTATGGAAGCTTGTAAATATAATTTTGCTGTGGACGGTACAGCTTAGTTATTAATAATTATTTGTAATGTTGAGTTTCCTCATTTCAGGCATGTCAAAATGAGAAGCCTTTTTAACTCAATCTCACAATTGAGTGCTAATTGTCATGAGCTAAAAAGAATCTTCTCATAACATTTATCCAAATTATTGGCTTGAAATCACACCACCACATTTCCAAAAAACATCGAAGATATTTGATTTTAGCCATCGATCTCTAGAAATCAGAAGAGACCTTGGTATCCTCTGGAATGGACAAGAACAATTTAACTTGGACCATTTAATCGAGCATTCTGTCGGACGGCGGTTGTTTCCAGAACATTTTGTGTTTGAAAATATGAGACTACTTTGTTTATTTTTGAGTACACATGAGTAACTCAAATTAAATCGCTGCAAATATAATTACTCTGAGTACAGTTGCCTGGTATGCATCTGAAAAGAAAACGGAAAAGTAATTTTTGAGGATTTTTCCCAAAAGAAAATTTGACAGCTATAGCACAGACAAACAGACATAACACTCACAATCACATTCATCGCAAATAATGTTTTAGTTGGGAATGTGCTTGGATTTGTCATGGTGGCGCCACTGAAGCATTGTGCAAGTCACCACATTTCGATCTTATCAGTGATGCCAGTTCTTTTTCACGTCTAGTTAGTAGATGTCAGCTCTTGAAAATGATAAGTGGTTAAGGCATTCCACTGGAGACACATACCACCAGGCATGGAAAATCATTTGCATTCATTTCGTGCATTCATTTACATTCATTTGCCTCTAACTTTTTCTTCAACATCATTCCGCAAATTGATGTATAGAGCTTTTGTATGTTTTGTTATAAGCTTCAACTTTTGTAAACAAGTCAAATCCGTATCTCATATGCATGACGAAGAAGAGCGAACAGAAGCCACTACTGTTTTTCTGTGAATGTATTTTACATTCACTGAAAAACAGTAACAAGTTCTGCCCGCTCTAGTTCGTGATGCATAAGAGATACAGATTTGAGTTATGAGCAAAACTTGTAGCCTACAAAAGCTCTATACATCATTTTGCGGAAGGTTGTTGATGAAAAAAGTTAGAGGCAAATGAATGTAAATGAATGTAAATGAATGTATGAAATGAATGCAAATTATTTTCCATGCCTGCATACCACATCTGACGAACACAGAAAAAAAAGTTGTTGAATATTACATCAAAAGTGCTGCACATTAGTCATTCCGTTTCTAATATTACGCTGTACGATTAACACAGAATTCTAGAACAAATCATGTTGATGACTGTAATATTCTATCAAATTTTACCCCTTTTACCAGTTATTGATGTTCAATGCTTCACCATGAATTTCATTGATTGATATATTGTTTTGCTGTGTACACATTTAAGTGATGAGCGGTGGTAGAAAGGGCACTATTTAGTAATGCATTACCTCGTTTAAACACTTGTTTCCAGCAAAAGGAAAAGCATACTAAACAAAAAAAGCAAATCCCTGAAAAAAGTCTTAGCTTCTGTGAATTCTTCCTACGGATCCGTATTTCTGCAGAATTCAATCAATTCTATAGATATACGGAAAATTTCGTAGAACCGACATCACTGACTTCCATGCAACGAGGGAAAAGCAACTGATGAAAAAATGGCATGAGCGAGGGATGCTCTGGTTGCACATCAATGCTTGGGAATATGGATGATAGATGGTGCTAGTGCGCATGCAAAATACGCTTGACGATATTTTTGAAGAATTTTCGTCTAAGAGTTATGTCTGTTTGTCTGTGGCTATAGGGAGGTGTCTTCTGCTAAATTTTTAGATTGTAGGGAGGTGTGGTCAAATTTTAAAATCAACAATTATTAGTGCTTATGTTGTTAAAATGCATCCAAAACATCAGTGTTGCAATAAACGCCAATTGATCAAACCATTATTCCGCAAGGAAAGTGAAATTTCATTCAGAATGCGCCACCTTCATGTCGATCACGATACTAATGTTATCGATCTTTCCTTTACCTTATTTCTTTTGAACTGCGTAGGGTAGAGCGCTACTTCGTCGATATCACCCAT